TATTTTATTTATTATATAATTAAAAGTCTTATATTAATTTGTAATATAAGACTTAAACTTCTCTCATTGTTTTTAATGCTTTTATTTTATATTCAATCGACATCTTTCAATTTTTTTTCATCTCTTTTTTTATCCCTATAAATATCAATCTTTTTAACCCAATCCATAACAAAATAATCAGGTCCATTGTAATGTCCATCAATACGAGCCATACTATCTTCAAGAAATAAATCATCATCTGAGTCATAGAGTAAATACTCTCCTAATCCATTTTTTAAAACTTCTTTTTCTATAAACGCCATTCCATAAGATTTTTTATTATATTTTCTCTCAAAATATTGATTAAACCTTTTTTTTTAAAAAAAATTCAATTTTATTTTCCTGACACAGAATTCAAATTATTATATCATTTACTGAGTAGTTATAATAACCTGACTTCTGACTCGCTTATCTTGGTACTATTTTCCCTTTGCTTACATTAAGCCAATATTTCATACTCATTTTAAATACTATAATTTACTAAAATTTCTTTGGTATTAAAACCGTTTGCTAAATATGTAAATTTTTTAAATATCTTAAATAGACAGAAAAACATGACATTTAGATAGTAAATCATATTTCTCTGATTAGTAGTACTAAGACGCAAATTTTTTTAGTACCAAAAAAATAATAGAAAATAGATAGAAATTAAAATTTGAATGACGACTGACGTGTTATAGAGTGTTTTCACATGACGTCACGGCGGCCATATTGGTGTCCCAAAACAATGAAACGGCGGCCATGTTGGTGTCCCAAACCAGTCCTGTGGGAATTGAACTCTTTTCTTATGCAAACGCTTTCTTTTGTTCCAATAAATTTGCATAGATGCTGGCCACGTGAGTGAAAACACTCTATATAACGGTGGCAAACGGAAAATAGTACCAAGATGAGTGAGTCGGAAGGCAGGTTATTATAACTACTGTCTTGATAAGATATCTGCTAGGCTCATCCGGGAATGTGCAGATGTCATTTGCATCCCTATTTGTGATATTTTTAACCAATCAATTAGTCTAGGTATATTTCCCGATGATTGGAAATGTGCACGAGTTACCCCTCTTTTCAAACAAGGGGACAGAGATGACCTTAACAACTATCGCCCAATCTCTGTGATCTCTGTTGTGGCCAACGGTGTTTGAAAGAATTGTCTATGATCAATTATATCCCTATTTAGAACAACACGACATCATCTGTAAATATCAATCGGGCTTTCGTGCTATTCATTCAACTGTGACGACTCTTCTTGAGGCCACGGATACTTGGGCATTTAATATTGACCTTGGCAAAATCAATGCTGTCGTATTCCTATTTATAAAAAAGCCTTTCGACATGGTGGACCACGAGATCCTTTTATCAAAACTAAACTTCTACAGTATTAATGGAATTGCGCATCAATGGTTTCAGTCATATTCAGAGGACCGCACACACAAATGTGTTCCATCAATGGTCTCCTCTCTAGCAGTTGCTCTTTAAGTTGTGGTGTCCCTCAGGGTACTATCTTAGGTCCATTATTGTTTCCATTATATATTAACGATCTTCCCAACTGCCTGTCAAATAGCGAGCCTCGGATGTACGCTGATGATACCCATCTTAAATACGCGAGCAGCAATATTCATAACATTCAGACAAGTTTAAACAAAGACTTAGAAAATAGGGGCGTTTAAACAAGGAAAAAATTAGACTCGTCTTACATAGGACGCGTCCTAAATAAGACTCAAACTATCCCGTATAAACGGCACATTTCGTTTGAAATTTAGCTTAGATGCGTCTTATCTAAGAACAGCCCCTAACACCTGTTCTTCAATAAGACGCATCTTTGCTAGGTCGCGTCCTAATGTGCTGTTTATATGGGATAGTTTGCGTCTTATTTAAGACGGGTTTAATGAAAGGCGCGTCTTATTTTTCCTCATATAATTGGCCCCAATGTTCACAATTAGCTAAAAGCAAACAAACTCACTCTAAATGTGACTAAAACCGAGTTCATGTTAATTGGATCTAGGCAGAGGCTAAGTACTATAACAGTTTCCCCAACACTTGCAATTAATGATTTTCGAGTTACCCAAGTCGCTACTGCTAAATCTCTTGGAGTGACCATCGATGATAATCTCGATTGGGGTAGCCATATGGAGAAGATAATAAAGAAAGTATCTTCTGGCATCGGTGCCATAAAGCGAGTAAGGCACCTTGTCCCCCAAGCGACCTTACAACTAATTTACCAAGCTCTTATTCACCCTCACTTCAATTATTGCAATACTGTTTGGGGAAACTGTGGGATAACCTTAAGGAACAAACTTCAAAAACTACAAAATAGAGCAGCCCGTGTTTTGACATTTTCAGACTACGATGAAGACGCTTGTTACCCGTTTTGAACTCCTAGGATGCAAAAATCTACAATGGAATCTACGAAGCCACAATGGTTTCTAAGTCTCCACACGGGCTGGCTCCAGAATATTTATGTTCTCACTTGCAATACGAGAAACGGCATATAACCTTAGAGACTCTGAGAATAAACTTTGCATCCCTTTACCATGGACAAATTATTAAAAAAATAGCTTTAGCTATAGTGGCGCCATCCTATGGAACAAACTCCCGTGTAATGTGAGGCAAGCAGAGTCCCGTACGAAATCCAAATGTCTTCTTAAACAAGTACTCTAGGGCACGGCATTCGTGTAAAGCAGCTTTTTATTTAATATTTTTTATAATGTTGATAGTTTATAATGTTTTCTTATTTGAATTGTAATTTTTTGGCTGATGAATTGACCGTGGATAAATAAAGATTATCTATCACACATCCCTAATATACTTAAAAAAACTTCACGTACGCGTGGTACAACGACGCCCAAATATACGCTCCCACAGCGTCTTGTTATCATTATGATGATAATTCCTATTCACCCAAAGCATGCTGCCTGCATCGAAATTTTGGAAGTCTTGTTTGATGAGAAAGCTCATACGTACATGCATTGGTATTTTTACATGTCAGAAGTTGTCACAGTTACACCAACTGTGATTACATTTACACAACTGTATCAGTTTGGGTGTTTATGCTGATGAAAAAAGAAAAAAACATAATTGCATGGTGATAGCTTCAAGTGGTCCACACAATCCGAAGATCACAGTGTTTAACCAGCAGCATTATTGCATCTTCAGTGTTATTTTAGTAATCAACACATGCAGTCAAGGTATTTCTTAATCATTAGAGGGTATAATGCTACCAACAAGATCAGATATTAAACCAATTGTCTAGTGAATAATTGTTAACAAAACTTCTGAACGCCTCAAACAGGCTACCTCTCGCCACCCATGACTCGTAAGCGTACCACCCGAGCAACTTTGAAGAAAAGTGGTCTATAAATACCAAGACGAAATTCACAAATTTCACTGAATGTGCTAGTCGTGCTCAAGAGAGAATGATTATAGTGCAAGCTAGTGAACTGGGGAGTCTCATGTAAGGCAAATTATACAAACCACAGACTACCTTTGAATATCAGCAAGAAACTCCGTTCATGTTGCAGAATCATGCTTTATACAATGACTGTTTCAGGTCAAAATACTGTAAAAATATTTATCTGACTAACAAACACGATGTTGAACTTTGTTATATGATCTTATATGAGTTGATTTGTCGATTTTAAACTAGTTAAGACAGTTTTAAGAAACTTAAAGTTTGTTTTTTAGTACCGACCAAACACAAAGTTTGTAAACCTCAGTGCTTTCTAATTCCATTTTTATTGATCTATTTCATTGTCCCGGGCTTCCTCAGCACGCATGATAGCCAAGCCCCTCATTGTCAACTTATATCCCTCTGTTTTCTTGAGTTCTTCCACAGTTAAAACATCATCATCATCATCATCATCATCATCATCATCATCATGATCATCATCTTCATCCTCCTCCTTATCATCAGTTTCCTCAGACGATTCCTTTGAAAAGTAATTAAAGTGGGTTCAACGATAGAACCAGTAAGATTACCAAGGGTGTTGTTTCCTGAATTAAAACTGAGCAAATGATAAAGAATCTGCTTAAAACTTTATTTGGAAATTATCTTAATACAACCCTATCAGAATAATTTTTACACAACCTTATTTAATCTAGCACACGGTTTACTATTTGATGAAAACTTACATGTTTAGTAATCAGTATGCACAGCTCTGATCTATTAGATTGCTGTTGATTTGTAGAGTTTAATCCAATATGTCTTTTCCTGAGGGATACGGCCTATCGACCGTACCCTTACCGGGAAAAAACGTGCAAAGAACGTGTAAATGAAATACAAAAATAAACGTACGTTGTACAGACACGATCGCAAAGTTAATGAAATACCGTAAAATTCCGAAAATAAGCACCAGGGCTTATATTTTTCAAAGGCCCTTTTTGAGGGGCTTATTTTTGGAGGGGCTTATCTATGGAGGGAAATTTGCGTTTCAAAACCGATTGGGCCAGCCTTATAGTTGGAAGTGAATTTACCGTTTTTGCTTTGTTTTACTTTGTATTTGAGGGCAATTTTCCAAGTACAAGCCCCCGTGGGGCTTATATTTGGAGGGGCTATTTAACGGGGTTTTTTTTGCGTTACCGGTTTGGGGGGCTTATATTTGGAGGGGCTTATTTTCGGAATTTTACGGTATTTAACAAACATTCCACGAGTGTGCGTTGGATATAACACGATTATAGCCAACAAGGCGCGTAGCGCCGAGTTGGCTATAATCATCTTATACCCAACAAGTGCGAATGGAATAATTGTTTTATTAAAGACGCCCACAAAATATCGAGAATTCTTCCCGACTTTATTTGTAAAAACAATCGATTTTCAGTTTGTTTCCAATTTTGAGCAGACGTGTACAGTTACCATATTTGGAGAGCATGGTATAATGGCTCATATACTATGATGGCTAAGCCAATCAGAGCTCTAGAATTACATTATCCAACGATTTAGTTTTTAATAAGCTTTTTGTAACACGAACCTTTGGCTCAAGGGTTGCACTTTCGTTTCTTTTTTGTCCATAATTTTCGATCAGCTCCTCCTGAAATAAAATGGAGCATAATATTACACACAAAACTGTACAGGTAGAAAACGACCTTTCACGCCAATTTTAAAAATGTAAGATTTAAGTAATAGGAAATGTTTTCCGTGTTTGCATATCCTGATATAAACATGAGAGGGGATGGGAGAATTCTCGACAGTTATGGAAACCCGAGACGAAGTCGAGGGTTTTCATAACTGTCTCGAATTCGAGACAGTTATGAAAACCCTCGACTTCGTCTCGGGTTTCCATAACTGTCGAGAATTCTCCCATCCCCTTGAGTGTTTATATCAGGCTATGCACATACAGGAAATTCGTGCTTGCGCATGAAAAGCAAAACATCATGACGTCACAACCATGTTTACATACTGTCATGCAAACATGCCTCTAGGCCAATCATACTATCTCAGTTATTTTACAAAAGTTGATGAAAGTGTTGGTGCCCCTCAGAGGGGCACCAACATGGCAGCCGGAAGTTTTGCTACTAATGGGCGAATTCATACCTCGTGTAGCTCATAAACATTAAATTAACACTTTTCATAATACAATGACTGTTTAGATAGCAAAATCCCACACAAATTACGTAACCTTTTTAACCTCCTCAACTGCCATGCAACAGGAGTGTCATGCAAAAGGTTAGAAATTAGAGGGTACTCTATCGCAAAATGAACAGCCCATTCGAAGCGAAAAGTCGTAAAAATATACGTTTTTAGCTGTTCTAACACCTCAGGAAAGTAAAAACTCAGTGGGATTGATAATTTTTAATTTTTGAATTTTGCTGACATAAATATGTGAAAAGCAATTTTTCTGAGCACTAACATCTTGTTGCCTCAGTGTCCAATTATGCAACTGCAACAATGTACCCAGCTACACTCCAATTCATTCTGTCTCACTTCATATCTTATAGTTATTACTGTTTTTAATTTCTAATTTTCATATTTTGTTGTTCAGATCATAAAAGAGTTTTGACCCAACTCAGTAAATTTTTATAAAAATAACTATTGATTATACATCTCTCTATATACAATACTATTTAGTGTTATTCTGAAAGGAAATTAGTAAAGCGATCATAGTTTATTTTAGTTAATAAAGAATCTAAACTGGCATGCCAAATGTGTTGGTTTCTTTGTCTTTCTAAAAGAGTGTGTATTAGACTCTTTCTGAAACTTTTTGTGTCCTTAGAGTTTTTGAGTGATTTTTCTAAGTTATTCCAGTCTTTAACTGATCTAACTGAGAACGTTTGCCCCCCTTCAGTAGAGTTGTTGTATATGGGGCAGCATAGGTTTAGTTTGCTGAAATGTGTATTGCTGGAGTGGACATCAGAATTTAGTTGAAGCATAGATTTCAGGTATTCAGGTGTTTTACTGAGTGTTCTCTTGAGAATCAATGTGCATCTGTTGACATATATGTCTTGATAGAAAGGAAGCAAATTTAATGTGTTGAACAACGGCAATGAGTGTGAGCGTGATTCTGTGTCCAAGATGATCCTTGCAGCTCTTTTCTGTAGTCTAAAAATGTTGTTTAGGTTTTCCTTACATGATGATGTCCGAATGTTAGCACTATATAGGATACCTGGTTTGATGACAGCATTGTAATATATTTTCTTATGGTCTCTCTTTGAAGTATGGACTGATATATTTCAATAGGTCAATTCTTTTTGACACCTTTTTAGTGAGAGCATTACAATGATTTTCAAAAGTTAAGTCATCATCAATTTCTACCCTGAGGAATTTGCGTGATCTTACTCTATCAATCTGTGAGTTATTCAAGGCAATGGTAAAATTGCCATCTTGATGTTGATCTTTAGTCATACGTTTTCTCAATCGCTTCCTGATGACAAGTATCGACTTCATTTTCTTTTCATTAATTCTTGTTTTTCACTCACGTGAGAAAGCAGAAACAAATATGAAAACCTTTTAATACAGAAAGTCTAGAATCTGGGAAATGAAAGAAGATAAATGTACAAAAAGCCTTGCCAAGATTCAGGTCTATGCAATAGTTCATATGCGAGATATTCGGAAAAACGTTTTACCCAAATGTATAAAGCTTTGCATGGAGATGCCATGTTTGTGTCCCTTTCAGGGGCACAAATATGGCCGCTGGAAACCAACAGAAACATCTGTTTTTGAGTTTTCCTACTTATGCGTGAATTCTTCACTTGAGGAACTAAAAAAGATTAAAGTAATATTTATTCTACGACAAGGAATGTTTAGATAGCAAAATCTCCAAAAATCTGTAATGTTTTTAACCCACATAAGAGCTTTCCCGGCCGCCAACTAAATGCTGCGTCACGCAAATGCCTGGAAATTTAAGCATCCTGTATCGCAAAACAAAGAACCCTTTTGAACCGGAAAGTTGTTTGTATAAAGGTTTTAAGGTGCTCTAGTATCACATGAAAGTAGAAACTCAGAAGAAGCGATAGTTTCTTAGTTTGAATTTTGATGACGTCATGTAAAAAACCAAGAATTCCCATTTTGTTCATATTTGCCCAACACTGAAAGTTCTCTAAGTCTCCTTGAATGTTATCGTTAACTAAAGAGATGTTATTCCACTTATAGCAAGATGTTAACATAGCAATTTCTGATCCCAGAAATGAATTGACAACTTTTGAATTGGGGTTGAGTAACGAACTACTTTCTCACCAGTTCAAAACTATTAATTAACAAGATTCACTAAAAAATTGTAATAGGTTTGAACCCAGGGGTCATGTTGATCATGTACTTTTTTATGATAAATAATCATCATATCTTACTTATGGACTGCTAAGATAGTAATTTTTATAAACTTGCTAATTTAATCAGATGATGATTTTAAACAATAATATTGGATGGGGTTTTTGTGATATCCAGAATAATGAAGCTTGAGGTAAGGGTTATCAGTCGAGCCGAAGGACGAGGCTGATAACACTTACCAAGACCTTGATTATTTAGGATATCACAAAAACCGAATCTAATAATTGCTTTATCATACATTGTTTTGAAGAAAATGACAACAAATACACCATCGCAAGGAACCTGAATTGATACATACAGGTTAGTCAGTTATCTGCTAACAGATAACTACCCAATTTGTAGGTTGCACTGATTTCCAAAAGTATCTGTAGGCTCTTAGCCAATGAGAAGGCAGATAGTGAGTACAATGTATAATACTGGCAATTGGTGCCATAGATCTTTTTCATCAGTGGCAACAAATAGTTTTTTAATTGAATTTGGCGAGATGTGAGGGTCTTTACAAAATCGATATTACTAATACAGTGGAAACATACCGACGATAAAAGAAATATTGATGATATATTGTCCCGGGCTTCCTCAGCACGCATGGTAGCCAAGCCCCTCATTGTCAACTTATATCCCTCTGTTTTCTTGAGTTCTTCCACAGTTAAAACATCATCATCATCATCATCATGATCATCATCTTCATCCTCCTCCTTATCATCAGTTTCCTCAGAGGATTCCTTTGAAAAGTAATTAAAGTGGGTTCAACGATAGAACCAGTAAGATTACCAAGGGTGTTGTTTCCTGAATTAAAACTGAGCAAATGATAAAGAATCTGCTTAAAACTTTATTTGGAAATTATCCTAATACAACCCTACCAGAATAATTTTTATACAACCTTATTTAATCTAGCACACGGTTTACTATTTGATGAAAACTTACATGTTTAGTAATCAGTATGCACAGCTCTGATCTATTAGATTGCTGTTGATTTGTAGAGTTTAATCCAATATGTCTTTTCCTGAGGGATACGGCCTATCGACCGTACCCTTACCGGGAAAAAATGTGCAAAGAACGTGTAAATGAAATACAAAAATAAACGTACGTTGTACAGACACGATCGCAAAGTTAATGAAATACCGTAAAATTCGAAAAATAAGCACCAGGGCTTATATTTTTCAAAGGCCCTTTTGAGGGGCTTATTTTTGGAGGGGCTTATCTATGGAGGGAAATTTGCGTTTCAAAACCGATTGGGCCAGCCTTATAGTTGGAAGTGAATTTACCGTTTTTGCTTTGTTTTACTTTGTATTTGAGGGCAATTTTCAAGTACAAGCCCCGTGGGGCTTATATTTGGAGGGGCTATTTAACGGGGGGTTCTTTGCGTTACGGTTTGGGGGCTTATATTTGGAGGGGCTTATTTTGAATTTTACGGTATTTAACAAACATTCCACGAGTGTGCGTTGGATATAACACGATTATAGCCAACAAAGCAGCGTAACACCGAGTTGGCTATAATCATCTTATACCCAACAAGTGCGAATGGAATAATTGTTTTATTAAAGACGCCCACAAAATATCGAGAATTCTTCCCGACTTTATTTGTAAAAACAATCGATTTTCAGTTTGTTTCCAATTTTGAGCAGACGTGTACAGTTACCATATTTGGAGAGCATGGTATAATGGCTCATATACTATGATGGCTAAGCCAATCAGAGCTCTAGAATTACATTATCCAACGATTTAGTTTTTAATAAGCTTTTTGTAACACGAACCTCTGGCTCAAGGGTTGCACTTTCGTTTCTTTTTTGTCCATAATTTTCGATCAGCTCCTCCTGAAATAAAATGGAGCATAATATTACACACAAAACTGTACAGGTAGAAAACGACCTTTCACCCCAATTTTAAAAATGTAAGATTTAAGTAATAGGAAATGTTTTCCGTGTTTGCATATCCTGATATAAACATGAGAGGGGTTGGGAGAATTCGAGACAGTTATGAAAACCCTCGACTTCGTCTCGGGTTTCCATAACTGTCGAGAATTCTCCCATCCCCTTGAGTGTTTATATCAGGCTATGCACATACAGGAAATTCGTGCTTGCGCATGAAAAGCAAAACATCATGACGTCACAACCATGTTTACATACTGTCATGCAAACATGCCTCTAGGCCAATCAGAGCATGCATACTATCTCAGTTATTTTACAAAAGTTGATGAAAGTGTTGGTGCCCCTCAGAGGGGCACCAACATGGCAGCCGGAAGTTTTGCTACTAATGGGCGAATTCATACCTCGTGTAGCTCATAAACATTAAATTAACACTTTTCATAATACAATGACTGTTTAGATAGCAAAATCCCACACAAATTACGTAACCTTTTTAACCTCCTCAACTGCCATGCAACAGGAGTCTCACGCAAAAGGTTAGAAATTAGAGGGTACTCTATTGCAAAATGAACAGCCCATTCGAAGCGAAAAGTCGTAAAAATATACGTTTTTAGCTGTTCTAACACCTCAGGAAAGTAAAAACTCAGTGGGATTGATAATTTTTAATTTTTGAATTTTGCTGACATAAATATGTGAAAAGCAATTTTTCTGAGCACTAACATCTTGTTGCCTCAGTGTCCAATTTATTATGCAACTGCAACAATGTACCCAGCTACACTCCAATTCATTCTGTCTCACTTCATATCTTATAGTTATTACTGTTTTTAATTTTTAATTTTCATATTTTGTTGTTCAGATCATAAAAGAGTTTTGACCCAACTCAGTAAATTTTTATAAAAATAACTATTGATTATACATCTCTCTATATACAATACTATTTAGTGTTATTCTGAAAGGAAATTAGTAAAGCGATCATAGTTTATCTTAGTTAATAAAGAATCTAAACTGGCATGCCAAATGTGTTGGTTTCTTTGTCTTTCTAAAAGAGTGTGTATTAGACTCTTTCTGAAACTTTTTGTGTCCTTAGAGTTTTTGAGTGATTTTCCTAAGTTATTCCAGTCTTTAACTGATCTAACTGAGAACGTTTGCCCCCCTTCAGTAGAGTTGTTGTATATGGGGCAGCATAGGTTTAGTTTGCTGAAATGTGTATTTCTGGAGTGGACATCAGAATTTAGTTGAAGCATAGATTTCAGGTATTCAGGTGTTTTACTGAGTGTTCTCTTGAGAATCAATGTGCATCTGTTGACATATATGTCTTGATAGAAAGGAAGCAAATTTAATGTGTTGAACAACGGCAATGAGTGAGAGCGTGATTCTGTGTCCAAGATGATCCTTGCAGCTCTTTTCTGTAGTCTAAAAATGTTGTTTAGGTTTTCCTTACATGATGATGTCCGAATGTTAGCACTATATAGGATACCTGGTTTGATGACAGCATTGTAATATATTTTCTTATGGTCTCTCTTTGAAGTATGGACTCATATACTTCAATAGGTCAATTCTTTTTGACACCTTTTTAGTGAGAGCATTATAATGATTTTCAAAAGTTAAGTCATCATCAATTTCTACCCTGAGGAATTTGCGTGACCTTACTCTATCAATCTGTGAGTTATTCAAGGCAATGGTAAAATTGCCATCTTGATGTTGATCTTTAGTCATACGTTTTCTCAATCACTTCCTGATGACAAGCATCGACTTCATTTTCTTTTCATTAATTCTTGGTTTTCACTCACGTGAGAAAGCAGAAACAAAAATGAAAACCTTTTAATACAGAAAGTCTAGAATCTGGGAAATGAAAGAAGATAAATGTACAAAAAGCCTTGCCAAGATTCAGGTCTATGCAATAGTTCATATGCGAGATATTCGGAAAAACATTTTACCCAAATGTATAAAGCTTTGCATGGAGATACCATGTTTGTGTCCCTTTCAGGGGCACAAATATGGCTGCTGGAAACCAACAGAAACATCTGTTTTTGAGTTTTCCTACTTATGCGTGAATTCTTCACTTGAGGAACTCAAAAAGATTAAAGTAATATTTATTCTACGACAAGGAATGTTTAGATAGCAAAATCTCCAAAAATCTGTAATGTTTTTAACCCACATAAGAGCTTTCCCGGCCGCCAACTAAATGCCGCGTCACGCAAATGCCTGGAAATTTAAGCATCCTGTATCGCAAAACAAAGAACCCTTTTGAACCGGAAAGTTGTTTGTATAAAGGTTTTAAGGTGCTCTAGTATCACATGAAAGTAGAAACTCAGAAGAAGCGATAGTTTCTTAGTTTGAATTTTGATGACGTCATGTAAAAAACCAAGAATTCCCATTTTGTTCATATTTGCCCAACACTGAAAGTTCTCTAAGTCTCCTTGAATGTTATCGTTAACTAAAGAGATGTTATTCCACTTATAGCAAGATGTTAACACAGCAATTTCTGATCCCAGAAATGAATTGACAACTTTTGAACTGGGGTTGAGTAACGAACTACTTTCTCACCAGTTCAAAACTATTAATTAACAAGATTCACTAAAAAATTGTAATAGGTTTGAACCCAGGGGTCATGTCGATCATGTACTTTTTTATGATAAATAATCATCATATCTTACTTATGGACTGCTAAGATAGTAATTTTTATAAACTTGCTAATTTAATCAGATGATGATTTTAAACAATAATATTGGATGGGGTTTTTGTGATATCCAGAATAATGAAGCTTGAGGTAAGGGTTATCAGTCGAGCCGAAGGACAAGGCTGATAACACTTACCAAGACCTTGATTATTTAGGATATCACAAAAACCGAATCTAATAATTGCTTTATCATACATTGTTTTGAAGAAAAAGACAACAAACACACCATCGCAAGGAACCTGAATTGATACATACAGGTTAGTCAGTTATCTGCTAGCAGATAACTACCCAATTTGTAGGTTGCACTGACTTCCAAAAGTATCTGTAGGCTCTTAGCCAATGAGAAGGCAGATAGTGAGTACAATGTATAATACTGGCAATTGGTGCCATAGATCTTTTTCATCAGTGGCAACAAATAGTTTTTTAATTGAATTTGGCGAGATGTGAGGGTCTTTACAAAATCGATATTACTAATACAGTGGAAACATACCGACGATAAAAGAAATATTGATGATATATAAAAAAAAACATGCAGGTGTGGTCAGACGTCTGGTCACCCTCACATGGGAAAGTGATGGGAATTTCAATATTGCTGAACTTTGCCACTTTGAATTAGGGTCACTTACACTTTCTTCAATACTTTCTACACATATTCTTAGCAAGATCTAAAAATCTGAAAATCTGTGTCACCGTTTAAAATTTCCAAAATCTAGAAGAAAGATTTTCCAACAAAACTTCATAGATACGAAACTCCTACCTCATTCATGTCAGAATGGTCCAACTTCACCTTTTTCTCAGTAGAGAGCTTTCCATAGATTTAAAATGAGGTTCAGCTTCCATTGACTAAATTAAGGACTCACAAAGCTTTAAAGGCCTTTTAAAAACAGCTGAACTTTTACTTCGAAATTTAGAAGATACAGGTTTGCCCGCCTACCGTTTTAACCAAGGGACGCTGAATAACGTACTACGCATGCTCGTGATATCCTTGTTTACCCAGCATAACCAATCGGTCGTGACTAGAATGGATACTCCAAAATCAGGTATCCGCTCGGAGACTGGAACTGAATAAAATTATTTTTCGGCAAATCGCTCCGACTCTTCACGACCTTGTTGTGTTCAAAGAGATAAGTATACGAAGACTGACAAAAGGCCAAGATGCGAATGGTTTCTCCAAAATATGGATCAAAGCCTACATAGAGGTTAGTTGTTTTTCACGTTCTTTTTGTAAGAATTTAGTGCGAGGAGCAAACAATGTCTGTTTAATTACAGTACCGCGACTGCCTTGTAAAGCTTATTCATAGCAAAGTATCTGTTTGGATAGCTCAGAATAAGGTGGATACTTCAGAATAAGAATGGCCGAAGTATGGAAGTTTTGGCCATCTGGATTATTATCACTGAACTTCCCAATATAAACATGATTGTTACGTTTACAAAGAGAGTACAAATACAGTTAAGGTCAGTTAACCATCTTGTAATTTTATGGGTTAGTTGATTCCAAGCGTTAACAATAGTAAAAAACACATAATTTACTTCAGGTCATACTTCTTGTAGCTTGGTAATCACTCTTACAAGCGCAGACAGGCATATGCTCAAGTTTCTAAAAAAAATACGGTCCTGCAGAATGTATTAGTGTAGTGTCTCTGTATATGCTCTGATATAGGCCCTGGAGCCTGCAGTGGCAGATCTGAACCTTCAGATAAGAGGGGTGGGGTGGGAGGGGGGGGGGAGGATTCTCACCAGACCTTAAGGTGACTGGGAGGAACCACTCATCCAGACCTTAAGGTATGGAGGAGCTCAATCCAGAAAAGAATTTTCTTGGCACTGTTGTCCTCGGTTTGATCTAGAAATATGGAGGGCAGGGGACCTCCCCTAGATCTACTGCTGGCCTCTGCCAGCCCGCCCATGTTCACCTGCTACTTTTTACATTTACTAGAATCTCTAGTATCAATCCAAGTTATTTATCCTAAATATTAGGATTTTTGCGCTGTTATTTGTAGTTACTTTTTTTGCACTTGGTTTTTGTTTTGTTTTATTGTTTTGCTTTATTCAAATCCCAGGAGCCTCATTGTCACCAAAACTCTCTGCCTTCCATACCCTATCCCACACTGAACTGTCTGACAACAGTTCTCAGCCAAGTGGTACCATCATGGTGTTGAAAAGTGTGGAAATAGATCCTGTTGATCCTGGGATGAATTCTTTTTCTTTTCCTTCCCCCTTCCTCCACTCAATGGGGGAGGTGTTTTCTGTCCCCTCCCTGTGACCTAGTATT